CATTCCAGACTGAACAGCTAATACAGGATGGCTGTGGGGAAGAAGTGGGCAGCATTGCCAGGGGGTGTGTGAGAGCTGAGAATGGCTCTGAAGGGAAGGGAACTCACAACTGTTCAAGCAGCACTTACAAAACTTCCAAACGCATTAAAAGAAAATCACAAGAGGCCTCCATGGAAGAAAAACCAATCGATCTCTAAAGCTTCCTACATGTCTGTCAGAAGAGTCTAAGCGGGGCCTGTGGAACAGGCCTGCGACCTCACATTCTCAGGGGGCTGAGACAGGAGACGGTGAGCTGGAGGCTGAACCAGTCTCCGTTCCAGCAATAGTCCCAAGTCCCCCACCCCCCAGCATCTCTAGGAAGCTGTCCTTATTGCACTTCTCCGTTTGTCAGTGCTGGGGATGGGCATGGAACAGAGTTTCTGTCGGCGTCAGATCATCTTCAGAAAAAAATAAAGCATTCTAATGGTTTCCTCTCGCCGAATATAAACATTGCCCCCACACACAACGCTGATTCGCTGAATCAGAGGCCTTTAGTTTCTATTTCTATTATTTTCCATATGGTCTACTGGCCCCTCATGGAAAACATTAGGGAAAAAATAATCTATGTGTCATATCTGTGAGGAATTTCTTTAAAACAAACCAATCCAGGGATGCTGGCAACTGACTACCACTATGGTGGGAGTCTTCAGCTTAAACAAATATTTTCCCTACATCTGCCCACTAATTTTCATAAGACAATGCACGACGGAGTTAATTATTCAAGTGACTAGACGCAGACACTGGTTAGTATCAACGATCCACATATGACCACCATGAAAGGCTCCTTTCCCATGATGTCCATTTTTAACCCAAGAAGCTTACACTGAAATCTCACAGAAAAAGTTGATCTGCTTCAAATAAAAAAAAAAAGTTAAATCTAGTCAATTACAAATATAAAATACAAACTTTCAAAAGGCTGAGTCTGTAGCACGATGATAGAAAAACCAAAAGAAAAAAAGATTTTTGTTTGTTTGTTTGTTTGTTTTTCTTTGTGTAGACTGGGCTGTAATCCAGGCTGGCCTCAAACTCATAAAGATCCGCCTACCTCTGCCTCCCAAGTCCTGGGATTAAAGGTGTGCACCACCACTGCCCAGCAGCTTTTGACTTTTTAAGCTATTAAAAACTGAAGCTATCGATAAAGACGGGATAGGGGAAAAAAGGAGCTGGAATGAGAAAAAGAGAGGGAAGGAGGAGGTGATCATTTAAACGTAACTGGATCATAGGGAATGGCATTATGATGAGGTGTGGCTTTGCTGGAAAAGGCGTGGCCTTGCTGTAGGAAGTGTGTCACTATGGGAGTGGGCCTTGAGGTCTCCTTCGCTCAAGCTTTGTTCAGTGTGAAGATGCTAAATTTTCAGTTCCTTCTTCAGCACCATGTCTACCTACACACCACCATGACCCACCAGGACAATAATGGACTAAACGTCTAAACTGTAGGCTAGCCCCAATTAAATGCTTTCCCTTAGAAGAGCTGCCATGGTCACAGCAATAGAAACCCTAAGACAGAGAACAGGGAAAGCAGAGAGTAGAAAAGGTGAGGTGATTGATGCAAATGGTCTGTTTTGTGAGGTGGAGTTCAGGGGGTGGACATTGACTGCCATTTAAAAGGCCTTGGTGGGATGGACTTCTGCCTTGCTGACAGGTCCTCCCTGTTCAATACCAGGCTAGTTCCATGGCACTGCTATAATGAAATGCCACAACATAGGAAGGCCGGTGTTGGCCATGTCGATTCCTGCTGAAGCCCACTGAATCTATTCCATGCCTCCTCTCTCTGGTGCATTGCCCATAGTCGAGTGTTCCTTGACTTGGAGACTATCACCCTGCTCTGTGAAATGCATGGGGCATTTCCCTACACGTGTGTCTGTTTCTGGATCTGGAGCCCCTGTTGACTAGGGTGCCAGCTACGGGGACTCAGGGCCAACTTCATTTCTTTTCCTGCTGTTCTGAGAAAATGCCCTGGACAGAAGCAACTTGGGGGAGGCTGAGAGAGTCATTTCAGCTCACAGCCCCAGGTTCCGTTCCACCTTTGTAGGGAAGTCCCAGCTTCAGCAGCTCTAGGCAAACTGGTCACATCGCATCCAGAGTGAAGCAGCAAAGAGCACTGAAAGCACACGTGCTTATGCTCAGCTCACTTTTTGGTTTTATTATACAGTCAAGGACCCGAGTCCACTTTGAGGCTGACTCTTGCCACATCAATTAACAGCATCAAGACAGTCCCCCGCAGACATGTTCATAAGCTACCCTAATCTAGATCATCCCTCACTGAAGCTTTCTCCCCAATGATTCTAGAATGTGTTGAGCTGACAATTTAACCATTAACACAAGGCCCACCCTAACAACCTCATTTTAACCCGAACCCCACTACTGAGACCCTAATACCACATATTACATGGTATATTTCACATCATTTTTTCCTAGTCTCGACAATACATCACACTTGGCTCTGGGTACATTAACAGCTGCTAGATAACTTTTTATGTAGCAGTGGCGGTTGTCTAATCTACCCATAACACACTCTAGGAGCATTCCAGTCCTTCTGTTGTTTCCTCTTTTGTATCCATTTCCTAGAAGCTAACTTGCCCTTTGGCCTCTACCTCTATGGCACAGCAAGTGAGACGAGGAATCTAGGGAGGCATCGTCTAGAAAAGCAGACTCTAGCAACAGCCCCTCCCTGCTGATGGGCACCGGTGAAAAGGACAGGGTGGGAGTCCTCCAGAGAAAGGATCTACACCACAGAGATCACTGGGCATCAGACACTTAGCACACAGAAACATTCTTACTTCAGGTCTCTGGCTGTCCAAATATACAGAAAGGAGCTCAGACTGAACTATAGGAGGATTTCTGGTGCTTAGATAAAAGCCAGCATTCCTCAGGAACTTGTAAAACTGGTTCCCTCTGCCAAAAGGCATTGTTTCCTCTTACCTCTGGCAGAAAGGACAAATGGCTACCTGTGGTTGTGATCAAAGCCCATGCCAACCCCAGGCTCCCTTAGAATGTGCACCTGTTACACATTCTGAAGTCTCTACCAGCTTATTCACCCTCCTTATAGCACTATTCTCCGGAGTCTCGGTCTTACTCTTTCTCGCTCTGTCTCTGGATCTCTGACTATCTCTTACTATTTCCTTGCTCGCTCTATGCCTTATTCTCTGTCTTGCTACTTCACCATCTCCACCATTTTCTCCACTTCCCTAGCCCTGGCCATGCCCAGTCTGCTGACCAGACTCAGTCCACTTCTCTCTGCTCTCGACTCTTCCAGATGCCTCTGGCCATCCTCCCTCTCATTTCTACAATAAAAATCGTCCTTAATAATGGAGCAGTCATGTGGACAGTTCTTTACTCTCCCTCACACACACTCACATCTCACTTTGTACATATGTGAGCAATCTACAAGCAACTGATGTCAAACAAGAGGGGCAAAAGAAGCTATGGTGTATAGCACCTAATCCATAAGGTCCACGGGGAGCACTGGAAGGCTTCCTGTTCCTACCAATCCACACTGCTCCTCAGGGGAGAGGCAACGGTCTCATTTTGAACCCTTCCCAACACCATCTGCATCAAGCCTCTGAGGAATCAGACAGGTTCCCAGGAGATATGGACTCTTTAGGTCTACTCTGTATGCTAAGTATGAAATATTTACTCTTGGCTTACAATTTTTGCCCGCAGAGCCCCCTTCCTCCTTTTTCTGTTTCTGAGACAGAGTTTTAATAATAACCAAGGCTGGTCTTGAGTTCTGTGCTTGGGTAATCCTCCAGCATCATCTTCTGAAGAGGCGGTATTATAGGTGGGCACCCCCGCGCCTGGCTTGCAAAGGTTTTATGAGTGTGATAAAGGTGGGAAGGCTCGAAGATGTGTTATCAAGAGTTGACACAAGATGGTGGTGCCACAGAGAGCTTTAACTGTTCCCAGGAAGTCCTCTGAAGACATGGAAAACACTTTAGCTCCTGGAAGCATCATGGACCTTTGTGAAATGCTGTGGCTTTTTAAAAAAGAAGGAAATTACCAGGTATTGCCTGGGTATGGCAGAGAGGTTTAAAGACCCTAGTGCTAACACTGCTGATTTGACACAGGCAGCTCAGATAAGAGCCCCACATGGATTTCACTGAAAGAACCCACTGCCAAGGAAAGTGCCTTAAAGAACTGTAATTCTGTTAAATAAGCCAACTACCATAGTCTCACCTCAGTGAGAGACATTTAGATTTCAAGGAAAACAGCACAAGTTATCTATCCACCCGTCCATCTGTCAGTCTGTCTACTTATCTTTCATTTTTCTATCCATTCATCTATCTTTGTGTTCATCTATCTTTCTTTTTTCTATACATCTATTTACCTACCTAGCTATCTACTTATTTATCTTGCTTCTTTCTTTCTATCCATCTATCTTTCTACTTACTTTTCTTCTTTGTAACCATCTATCATTTTATCCATCTATCTTTTTCTGTCTTTCTTTCTTCTTTCTATCCAACTATCTATCCATCCATCCATCCATCTATATATCTATCTATCTATCTATCTATCGACTTAATTAAGCAAGTGACTTGTCTTTCCTGTGTGTACATCAAATAATTACAAGCCTTAAAAATTATCTGAGTAAAATTCTTTCCACCCCAATTCTTATTTAATCATTGTGGTAATTTTGAAGGAAAAATCCACCATGTACCAGCTACAATGAGGTTGAAGAGACTATCTTCTTTAAATATCTACCGTACCCCCTAGAGACATAGCACACATTCCTGAGCATGGGAGCACTAGCATTAAAGTAAAACCAAACAAACCTAGTGATTCAGTCCTGAGCTAAACAATGGGAGGCTGAACTGACCTTCCGCAATGACCTAGCATCCGGTTCAAACTGGACACAGAAGAATGGGATGGGGGACAGGGATAGAAACCCTGTAACTGAAGGGAAAGGAAAGAAATCCAAATATAGCAAGGATTTGTTCCTGAGAAGAATGCCTCAGCCTCACCTGTCTACTGCTTCCACGTCAAAGCAAAATCTCTTCTCAATGGAGTCTGTCTTCCGCCGAGTGCAGGATTTGAGGGTGATGGACTCATCTTCTCCCTAGGGAGAAGACATAGGTTGTCAGGTCAGGCCAGCCTCCTGCTTCCCTCTAGGACAAACACAGCACATGAACAGGACCTCACTTCAGCTTCTCAAATCTGTGTGTTCACAACCTGCTGAGACGAAGACTGACCACATTGCTTCTCAAGCAAGAATCTTCTACAGCTAAGATGTGGACAACCTAATACATAGTTACTTCAGGTAGAGCATGACCAGGGTTCAAGACAATAGCTCCCTCCTAACTGAGCATCTATGATCTTTTGTTAGTTATCACTACTTCAAGAACATCTTTTTGGAACAGGACAAAGATCCCTAAGCTGTGCTCACAAGGTACTATGTGCCTCTCCATCCCCACAGTACCAGTCAAAGCAGAAACTATCAAACTATCTGATAAAGAAGATGAGGAATAAAATGATGCCTTCCCATCAAATCTCATGGGAAGTTTACCAGACTGTAAGCACCCTAAGGACAGAGACTGGTGGTCTTTGCTTACTACTCTTCTATCTCCTGAGCCCCTAGGTCCTGAATAGAAGCAGTATTCAACATATAACAGTTATATTGATATACAGCATATGACAAACTGCATGTCCTTAATGTGTACTATTACAACTGTGACATCTGTAGACATCCATGAAGTTATCACTGAATCTGAGAAAAACGTTCCTGCCTAATAGTTTCATGACTTTTGGTGATCCAACCGCCTCCTAGTTCACCTCCAGCAACCACTACGTCTGCCTTCTGCTGTTATGGGCTAGTTTGCACCTTCTATAACCTATGCAAATGCAGACACAGAGTACGTGTCTGGTTTTTCCACTAAACTCGAGTATTCTATGGTTCATCCACAGTGCACATGTCAAGATTGTTTCTTTTTACTGCTGGGTAGTGTGCCACTGTGTGAGTGGAATGTGACAATCATGGCACAGTACTGCCTAGAAACACAGAAGGAGCCATCCTCAACGTCTGTCACCGAGGAATCCGTTATTGCTTCTGTTTCTTCTCCTTTTTTTAAAAGGGGAAAGTTCACAAACTTGCCTGCTCTGTTGGCATAAGAAGAAATGTAACTTCAGAAGGTGAATGCAACCACCCGCTGAAGTCAGAAAAGCACACAAGCACAGCCCTAGGAAGAGACCATTCATGTTCGCATAAGCTACATCTATACCCGCTTACTGAAGAGCAAAAATTAGTGTCACAGACTGAGATTGACCCTTATCCACTCTGTACGATGTGTAAGTATGTTAAATAAAAGCTGTAAGAAGTTGCCTAGTAATCCCAGCTACTTAGGAAGCTGAGACAGGAGTGTCATAGCTCAAGGGCAGCCTGGGCTATATGAGTTCAAGATTAGTCTAGACAAGTTAGCAAAACCTACCTCAGAACAAAAAGGCTGAGGATCTGGCTCTGCAGTCATGCAAATACTCCCCACCATAAAGCCAAGCTTCTTCTTCTTTTTTTTTTTTTTTTTAATCTGATCTCCCAAGAAACCAGAAGGGCTGGAGAGATGGCTCAACAGTTAAAAGCACTGGCAGCTCTTCCAGTGGTCCTGGGATCAATTCCCAGCACCCATATGGCAGCTCACAACTGTCTGTAACTCCAGTTCTAGGGGATCTGACACCTACACATCAATGCACACAAAATAAAGTTAAATAAAATGGAGAAAGAGACAGAGAGAGAAAGAACCCTAAATTAGCGTGTTATTAACCAACTACTTACTTTTCCACTGTTCACTCTCCTGTTCCCTCTTTACAAAAATTATAAATTCATGTTTTCATTGTTTTCCATGTTGGGATCAAACATGCAGCCTGCTACATGCTAGGCAAGAGCTCTTCCCTGACCTGTACTCCCAGATCAGCGAAAATCAGTTTGAAATGACCAATTATTTTGTGCTGTTTCTGAATTCTTCAGCCTTTCTCTGCCTTAAAACTAATTTCTACTGCTTGCCTTACCACAACGCTTGTTCTGCTGTATGTGATAGTGATACCTGACTCTAGAACTGAAAACATAGCCAATTAATATCTTTCAAATAAGTAATTCTAAGTCAGTCCTTTGATAAGCGCACTCAGTCAAACATAAGAAATCTGACTTGTTGATGCTCAACTAGAGTTCAGATTTACTAGCTATGGCCAGCTTCTATAATGAAAGCGTAGATAAAATGCCATGAGAAAAAACTGTGAGTGACATCTAAAAGGACCATCAGACATAAGCACAAAAGGAAGAGGAGCCGGGCACAGTGGAGCACACCTTTAACATCAGCACTCAGGAGGCAGAGGCAGACTGGCCTCTGTGAGTTCCAAACCAACCTCTTCTTCTTATCAAGTTCCAGGTCAGTCAGGGCTACAGAATGAGACCTTGTCTTTAAAATTAAAACCTATTTTTAAAAGGAAGACCATAAGATTTTGTTCTGAGGAGGCAAGGGAAAAACTGTAAAGATTATCTGCTGGGCTACTTACAAGGCTAAAAAGAAATTTAATCACTTTAAAACATTATAACTCTGGTATAATGGTTAAGACTGACAGGATCTAGAATCCTCTGAGCACGCCCTTGAGGGATTAACTTGATTAACTAAGGTGGCTTAACCCACCCTAAATAGAGACTGTACCATTCCATGGGCTGGAGTTTCTGCAGAATAAAAAAAAAAAAAAAAGGAGAAGGAAGGAAAAAAGAGGAGGGAGAAGGGAAGAGAAGGCGGAGGAGGAGGAGAAAAAGAAAACTGAGCATCAGTATTTGGGGCTTCCTGATGTGGGAGTCCTCTATATATGCTGTGAATATGTTTTATTATTATTCGATAATAAAGAACCTGCTTTGGCCTATGGCAAAGCAGAATATAGCAAGGCAGGAAATCCAAGCAGAGATAGAGAAGGAAAGAAGGCAGAATCAGGCAGGTGTCATGTAGCTACTGAAGGAGAAAAATGCCAGAACCTCATGGTAATAAATAAAATAATAGAAATGGGTTAATTTAAAGATAGAAGAGCTAGCTAGAAATGTGCCTGAGCCATTGGCCAAATTGTTGTAATTAAGATAGTTTCTGTGTGGTTATTTGGGTCTGAACGGCTGGAAAATGAACAGTCTCTATTTACAGCTACCTGCTTCTTAACTATGGGTAGAGTAGACCTGGCACCTCCCACTTCTGCTGGCATGCATCCCCTGCTATGGTGGGATGGAGCTCCAGAACTGTAAGCTAAAATAAACCCTTCCTTCTTTAAGTGGCTTTTGTCAGCAGATGAAAGTGCTCTGTAGTCAGGGTCCAGGGAGACTGGGAGGAACAAAGAGGAAGCAGGTATAGGTAGAAGCTCATAGGCAACAAAGATTGGGAAGAATCATGTCAGGTGTAGAAGGACACCATACTCACTACACTGGGGACAAACAACAGTACCAACACATCACATGACTTCTCTGTCTCAACTGTGAGGACATCCCTCTCCTTTTCCTTCACTAAAAAACTTAGGGAACGGTGGCATCATGAAAAGATTTGGCTTCAGAAGCAGGAGGTTCTAACTCCAGACTGAGAGTTTAGTATACTCAGTTTGAAACTCAGGTATATAAACTTAGAAGTAAACTGATCTCTCTGATCCCCAATTTCTTCCTTAGTGAAAAAGGAAAGCCAGATCAAACGGCACAACATGGGATAATGAGAGTAAAGACCACTACAAAGGAGAGCATAAATATAACCAGTTATGGTTTGGAAAATGACTTCTTAGAGTAGCAAGTTCCTTAAGGAAGCCCTTCTCGGGTTCTGCCTGACACACGTGAGTGCAACAACCCACTGAGGTACTCTATGGGATCTTGCAGAAGTCCTTGGAAACCCAAACACCGACCACTGTATGGATCTCCACCCTTTACTGACAAGGGTAATAAGAAAGGAACTGTGAAATACAACTGAGTTCATTAAAGACTGGGAAACATGTGAGAAGTCCTGAAGCAAAGCCTGTGGAGAAGAACAATGGAGTCAGCTGGTTTCTAGGGCGTGCATAGGAAGAAAAGAACTATGACCCATTCCAAACAAGGAGGGCTTGCTTCTAGGAAAGCTAGGGGACATGCAGTAACTTGGGTATAATTTGTAATATTCTCTTCTAACTCTGTTAACATATGTGTTTTCCTGAGATTATTTGTAAATCAATATCACCTCTGCTTAAAAAAAAAAAGAAAGAAAAATAATGAAAAGGGCTTTCTTACTGCTTGAATACAAGGAAGGAACAGAGATGCTGATAAAACTTTTTATTGTCACTCAAGTAAGAGATCCAGGAAGAAAAGCTGGAGTTGAGGAGCAAAGAGCACAGCACAGGCCCAGCCCAGGCATGCCCAGTCTCTGTGCTCTCCCTACTTGTGCACTTGAATGCTCTCCAACATTAACTCAACATGGTACACAAAAATGTCCATAGAAGGCCAGCGTGAGGGCTAGCGAAGAACTAACTTACCAAAATATTAGACACAACTGAAAAAAATATTTAAACCAAAGATAGAACCAAAGAAATGACTCAAAATATATTCCAAATATTCAAAAAGATTAAAAACATTCAGGCTGAGAATGGAGGCAGAGGCAAAAGAACCATGAGGGCTGGAGGCCAGCCTGACTGCACATGAGCTCCAAGTTAGCCTAGGTGACAAAGTGAGGTGCTGTCTTACAGAAAGCGATTGACACAAGATGAAAACTGTATTTTTATTGAAACAGTTAAATATACTCACAAGGAAATAATAGCAAAAAATAAAGAGAGGCAATATTCAAAGTTGGTAACTGGAGAATTTGTTTCAGTTCTGAATTAAGGTAAAACCTTAAATACAAGGTGGTCAAAAATTTCTAAACAATCAACTTTAAAAAAAAAAATCCATCCTAGGACATGATGAAATACAGGGTGATGAGGCGAGAGAAGGTAGGAAGGCAGCCCAGGGAGACACATATCTCTGTAAGGGAGGACCTGACTGCTGAGGGTGGCGAGCAGAGACAACTGTCTGGAGGCATGCAAGAGGCAGAACCCTGGAGAACACAGGGAGAACCCCAGGAGCAGTGCTAGGTTCCTTCTGAAACACAGCCACAGAGTATCTTCCATGCCTCAGAGTCCAAGACCACAGAGACAGAGGGGGCATGGAGGACAAAGAGAGAAAGCTGGAAGACGAAGAGAGCTGTGTGTGGCCAGCCTTGAGCTGCCTCCGATCCACACTGCTTCTGTCCTAGCTACTATTGGACCGAATTGAGCCTCAGCCTCCTACCCATAAAATGTTCCCCCAAATTCCTGGTCCACAAAGAATATTAAGAATGCAAATATTAAGAGAGCTGGCATGGATTTAAAAGTTGCAAGGTTTAGAGGTAACTTGTTACACAGAAATTACTAACGGATTCATCTAAACTGCCCACTGGCGGCTCTGGTGACCCAGCAGGAGAGATAGGGATCACTTTCACAGGATGATGTCAATCAACCACGACTTTCTAGTAACTCACTGATATCTGACATAGGGCGCGGTGTATACGTGTAAAACAAGAGTCTTGGTCACAGTTAGTAATGCTAACAATGATTATTCTAAGCATTTTCAGAGAAACGGGCCTCCTGGAACTGCTGTAGAATGAACGATCTTTACAGTAAAACACTGGACTTGTAGATGTGTATGTACTGTGAGCATTACCTGTCAGCCAAGCAAACCAAGCAAGACACTGTCACAGTGAACTCACCCCTTTTCCTCCTGACTTTTGGTCAAACGGGACCATGGTGATCTGCTTGGAATCCCGTTGGTATGTACAGTAGTGCTTCACCCAGGAAGTTCCAAAGTGACCTGCAAGGGAAGGTTGCCTATTAGCCATCTCCACGCTCCACCATGTGCTGCACACCACTGACTGCCATAACAGACATGGGTCACAACGCTCAGGAACTCGGGCTAAACCATCTCCTCCACCCTGAGGCTACCCTAGACAGCTAGGCTGACAGAAACCTGACCAACAATGCTTTCCCCACCCAGATATACAGGGTCTCTACCTCCTACTAATGCTACATCCAGTGGGCTTCAAATACAGGGGAAATACTGGTTCCCATCATCAATCTCCAGGTGAAGTTTCCATCCTCTCCCCTGACTGAGGTGACTGGGGAAGGAGCACAGAGGGCTCTTCTACGTGTCAGTCCCCATTTCCATCTGGGCAATGTCATCGTGCCTCCCACACGGCGGCCCGGTGACTAACCTCGGGGGTTCTGACCTACTTCCAAACCTCTAATTTTTACTTCAGCAGAACCCAAAAAGATCTGAAAGCAGACATGGAAACCTCAAAGACACCAGAGATGCAGACTGGAAGTGACTAAATGCCTAGATGGCATCTAAGGAGTCTGTCGCAAAATCCTCCCCAGGAAAGAGGGCGACACCACAGTGCCAAGGCCCACCAAGTGTCTGACTGCACGGGGGACCTGGCCAGTTACTTTATTTTCAACAACAAAGTGCTATTACAGGAAGAAGGCATTACCAGCCTGCAAGGACTTCAATCAATATTAGTTTTAGGTGTTTACAGAGCTCACACAATAGAAATGGTCAAAATTAACAACACCATGTAAGGAGAGTCAGCAGCCACTTAGCAACTACTAATGGTTTGGTATGATTGCCAAATATAAGTATTGGATATCACTTAATAACCTGGAAAAGCAACAGAGGGGCTACAGAGACAGCTTGGTTAATAAAGCACTACAAGCATGAGGACCTAAATCAGGTCCTCAAAACCCATGTAAAAATTAATTAACTAATTAATCAATTAATTTAGAATTATTGTTTTAAAGAAAACCAGGTTTATTGATGCACAGTTGGAGAGGGGGAGACAGATAGATCCTTGGAACTTCCTGGTTCGTCTGCCTTGCCTACTCAGTGAATTTCAGGCCAATGAGAAACTTGTCCAAAAAAACAAGGTGAATATCACCTAAGAAACAATACCCAAGGTTAATCTCTGGCAACCACATGCATAGGCATACTTGTATACCCACAAGAACACACACATACACACTCATATATATTATGTAATATATATATATATATATATGCATTCTCTCTCCTCTATCTCACTCCTGTTTCTGTCTCTTACACTCACACACACAGGCACACACAAACGTATACACAGAAATACATTAATCATTAAAGGCAATTTAAAAACCAAACATTCTGAGAGCTTGGGGGAAGTTCCAGTGCTTTGTCTTAAACAATGTGGACGTGAAGGTATATAAAGTAATAGATTAGAGCCTGTGAGTGAAACATGAATCTTAAGGCTTTATTGACAATGGAAACATAGGGAAGGACAGATGGTCTGACAGGTGGCAGATGGACAGATACGGAGGGTGGGTAAAAAGAAGCAATAACTCTGGCAACACTAGTAAAAGTGGGAAATTTCCATCACAGGACATATCAGGCTAGGCAAGGATCAATAGGTCACAACTCTAGGAGAAACATGGAGAAGAAAACGCTATTCACGTAACTGTCAGGTGACTCCCACAGAATGCTGGTTAGTTACAAAGAGAAAGCAACGGCCATACAGAGGAGAGACAACACAGTGTCTTGACTGGATGATGGAAACGAAGACCAGCAGGGGACCAATGGGCACCATGATGGAGCATGAGAGCGGAAGAGCTCAGGAGAAATGGAGTGTGTATGGGTAGTGCACATATCCACAGCCAAACACTGAAAACAGGAGGGGCGATCAGAGCAAAGCGTTGGGAAACCGTGGATCTGAATTCATGTTTTCTTCATACCATTCTTGCAACTTTCCTGTAAGCTTGGAAATTACCAAAAATAGTAAGTTCCCAAAGTATACAGTATCCTAATGAAATGCTTGAAGTGGTGTGCTAGAAAATGAAGAGGTAGTTCTAACAAAAAGCGACGTGTTAGTGTCAAGAGCGTGAGAAATGTGTGTCTAGAGCTGTGCCGTGCAGTGTGAGCAAAAGTGACCCCACAGGCACAGGCAAAGAACGGCAGCAGCCTTGCACTGCAGGCACAGTGACCTCTACCCTCGCCTTCCTGAAAGTCTGCTTTTCTAAGTCACCTCCAGCCACGGCAGTGGGGATGGGGTGAGGGAATCTGCCCGCATGGCAAAGAGGGCACCACTCCATACTCAGGGAGAGAAGCACACCAATGAAGTGGCTTCTGCTTCCTATAACCCCCCTCAAGCTCATTCCTCAAAGAACAAGGAATGTAAAACCCTTACTGTAGCCAATACTTCCAACCCCACTTCAGTCTCTAGTGTCAGATGGGAACAACTATAAGCCCGAGCAATTATGCGTGAGCACTAGTACTAAGTATATAATCACGAGAACAAAGAGTTTCGATCCTACTTCACCTGGGGCTCTCAGGAGTGAAGTCACTGCCTGAGAGGACCACAGAGAACACACACCAACATGATACAGGAGCCCTGCCTCCTGCTAAGAAAACATGCTGGCACACAGGTGTGTGACTCTAGAACTCAGAAGGAAAAGTCAAAGTTCGATCACGAGTTCAAGGTCAGTCTGGACTACTCAGCAAGATCCTGTTAAGGAGGACCGGTGCCTGCTAGTAGAACAAACATTGAAAGCAGAAGCTTTCAGGGTCTTCTTCCTGGCTCCTGGAGGTGCTGCCCTGGATGCATACCCTCTAAGCCTTCCCTGGGGCCTAAGGTATGCGTGTGAGTCCTCCCAAAAGACTGCATTCAAGGAGCAGCTCCTGGCATTTCTTCCCTTGACTGTATTACAAGGAGATGGGTCCTCTTCCTGACTCTCCTCTTCATTTTGACTTTCCGTAAAATCCAAGTATTGGAATCACAGGAGTTGGGAAGGAAATCAAAAGGGCCCAAGCCATGATAACTCTCAACTGAAAGCAGAGTCACCAAATTCTAAGGCACTCAAGGGGGTGTGGTCTGTAAGACTTTCCAATGCCCATGTGGTTGGGGTGGGGTGCATAAGCACCCTAAGACATGGAGGTTCAAAAGGAGAGAGATGCTAGGAAGAAAGGAACTACCTACCACAGAGCCTCGGGGGAAGGTAGCATCTGAGAGAAATCCTAGCACAGAGGGAACAGAACACATCACCTGGAGGCAGGAAAGACTGTGGACGCTGATCTGCGGGCACCTACAGAAGCAACACCTGCCCAAGGCTGCGAGTGCACCCCCTCCTGCCAATCAGCGCACTCACGTTTCTCCTGCACATAAAGGTACCCTTCCATGGTGTAGGGGCTGATGGTCTTGTGCTCAAGGGGGTTTTCCTTCATCTTCTTCATCAGCGATTCCACTTCAGACCTGGTTCCTTCGAAGCGGTTTCTTGTCTGGAACAAAGGAATTTTGTTCAAAGGATCAAATGCTGAATATCAGCCTAAACAGAAAGCTTAGATATAAAACTAAATAAGGGGCAATTCAATGGTCTAGGAAATGGGCAAATTTTCACTTGCAAAAGTACATCTTTGCCTTACAGTCCCATACCTGGAGGACTCAAACTCTAGCAACCACCAAGATCTCCGAGGAAGCATGCGAACACCCAACCTAACTCCTCAAGCGTGCGTGGCAACTCTTGGAGTCAGTGGAGGGTGTTTAAATAAGCAGTCCAGAATAGCAGAACCTTTAGGACCTTTAGGACCACAGTCCTCAAAACTCCAGTTGCAAGAAATGTAGCTTGCTGATGGCCCACAGATGGCATCCTCCTAAAAGGGGTGCTTTCTACATCATCCCCTCATGCAGAACAGCCTGGCTTCTACTCAGGCCCTCTCAGAACCCCTGAGTCTAAAACCTCCAACTGCATCTTGCTCAGTCTCTCAGAGGCCCTGAGTTATTACTATCCATGAATCCCTATTTCAAAGTCTGCCTTCAGACTGAAGTGAAGCTTGCCTAGCGTGTATGAGAACTTGTGTTTCACCCAAGGAATGAATGTATATATATTCATTTATATAAATATATATACATTCCTCCACTTCCTGCTCTCCCAGTCAACAAGGAACCACCATGTAAGGTCCAAACTTCCAAAGGCCATGCAGGACAAGCCATGCAGGAAATACCTGGATCTAGGTCCTACACAGGAGTGCTTTGAGACTCGTGGTCAATCCCAAAGTGAAAGGAGAGCTGGCCTTATGACTTATGCCCCAAATACCATAAACAAGTCTGCACACGCAGAGTCCCAGGTTTAAGCCAGAGAAGCAGCTGTATTTGGATGGCACTGACTTAGATGTCCTGTCAGCCTTGCTAAGGGCCCAGCAAGAGCACACCATTTGAGTTCCCACCCCTGGACACTCACATAAGACCTCAGGAGGCCAGGCAGCTGGTTGCACAGAAGGCAGCTAGTCTGGCCTGGGCTAAACTGGGATTTCCACTGCCAAGGAAATCCTGACACTGTTCTGAAAAATACATAGAACCAGCAGCAACACTTCCAGGAAGAGAAATGGTGCTTAGATCTGGGCCATTTTACATTCTGGAAACAACCGATCCCCACTGTCGTCCTCTGAGCCTCATCAGGAACCCACCTCACAAACCTCATTCCAATGCATGAGGAGAAACTCTGGAGCAAACACACCCTCTCCTTTCCCTCTCTGGTCCCTGCCCCCACTCACATTTTGTATGCTGATGGTCAACTGTGTCTTAAAGTCACCAAAATCCTTGGCCAGCTCATAACCATGGTGATAGAAAGTGAAGAGTCCTTGCAGGAAGGCCAGGAGCTGTCAAGAGGGAAGAAAGGCAGAGGTCACACAGGCCAGCTGAGAAGAAAAAATGTAGCAAGATCTGAGTTTCCAGCACCGTCTGTCTGGGAAGCATAGAACAGGCAGTAATGTCAACGAACACACACTGAGCATCTCTGTGGGTGAGATGCTGTGTTCTCCCATGTCCCGTATCACTGAGTGCTCACGCCACCTAGGACTTCAATATGAAAAGGACCCGCTTAAATAATGAGGAGGCACCTCTGGAGGCTAAGTAACTTGTCCCCTACTTCATGGTGAGTGTCAGGCAGGATTCAAAACCTATTCCTTGGTCCCAATGCTTACCACTGCCTAAGAACATCACCTCTTCAGAACTACAGGCTGAAGCTGCACCTGAGCTGCTCAACAGTCATAACACCAGGTTGTCACATGGACTCGGAAGTTGTTAAGGAAGCTGGTGAGCTCTGTGCCTGTAATCTAGCCAGCAGAGTCAGATCACAGGAAGTCACCCAGAACAGACTTACACCTAGGCACATTTCAACTTCCCCACAGTTAACACTAAAAACCCCTGTATGAAGCAACCACACACCACCCTGGCTTCAATTATGCTAGGTCCCTTGACTCCCGTTTAAATCCTCTAAGGCTAATAGGTGAGTGTATTCATGATCTAATCTCCACCACACAAAGTGATGGAATCACCTGTTCACCGCAGTTTCTCACACAACACCTTCATATCCTCAACAACTGCCCTATGCCCCACCCACAACATTCCTGTGTGTTTTCTCTACAACGCTGACGTACGAACCTCCCAGGCCCTTCCCAAGTCCTCCCCAGACTGTCTGCAAGCGCAGTGTTAACATGAAGAAGGGGCAACAGTGAAAGTTAGCACCAGGCTGGGACGGAACTGAGATCACAGCTGCTTGCTGAGAGGTCCACTCTGACCTCCAGACCCCACCACCATTCGTTATGGGAAATGCATCTGTTTTCCTTTGTGTTGTGGCATTTAGCTTTCCAGCCCCTCCACAAATACATCTGTACCTCTTTTCACCAGCTCCACTTTTCAGATTGGCAGCTCCATTGGCGCCTGTGAAGGATTTCACTCTGTACTTTGTACTGCGTCTGACAGGAGTGATTAGCACCAGAGGAGGGGGTGCCCCGACAGGACAGACCACATACTAAGCCCAGACTACAGAAGAACTTTATACTGGCATAACCAAAGTGGGAGGAATGAGCATATTCTAGAAGAGTCACTTGTGTGCCTGCCTTTGGCTACCAGACTACTGAGACAAACTTTCCTTGGGACTTTCATGCTAGGAGAAGGAAAGGGTGTCTCTGACACCTGGGGCTGGCCGGAGGACAGACTTTTTTGTGAGAAGAGATTTCAAACAAGCTGTCCAATCACCTTGTAGGACAAACTGGAGCTGAGACAGTTATAGGCAGGATAGCCCCTTGACCAGGAAGACTGAGTCAGGCATACCTCTTACCTTCTGTTTAAACCTAAACCTTGGCCGGGCAGTGGTGGCGCACGCCTTTAATCCCAGCACTCGGGAGGCAGAGGCAGGCGGATCTCTGTGAGTTCGAGACCAGCCTGGTCTACAGAGCTAGTTCCAGGACAGGCTCCAAAGCCACAGAGAAACCCTATCTCGAAAAAAACCAAAAAAAAAAAAAAAAAAAAAAAGATAAACCTAAATCTTATATCATGACCTCAAGGTGGACTTGGGGAGGCAGCTTCACTAGAACTCTTCATTTGTTCTGTTTTACAGTGTGGCCACACTGAATAAACCTCCTTTCTCTGCTTTTCACAATTACCTTTGCTATAATTGGCATGTAGGTCAGCAAACCTACATGTTCCAGCTACCAGGATCCAGGCTCTGTCCCCAACAACTTCAGAGGTCGTATAAGACCGACACTATACTAAAATGGTAGCTTGACCTCCTTCTGCTCTGTCCCTTTACATTCTCATGGGAGGTCAGCAAGTAGGCATCGCTGGGTCCTCTGTCTGTGAAGCATCTAGTTAGGGTAGCATATGCCACATCTACTCCTGACCTAAGTCAATAAGTTTTTAGGGCCTTAGAGTACAGAAGGCCAGTACTGAACTCTTCTCTTCAGAGAAGGCAAAAACTTTAGGATTCCCTCTACATAACTGTTTCCTGAGAGGAAGATGCATATCCCTTTCCTTCTAGACAACTCCAGAAATAAAGAAGGACTACTCTGAAGTCTAGGTAGCCACAGTAAAAGCTGCTCTTCTCTCCTCATTCTCCCTGCAGATACAACTGAAATTCTGGGTTCCAGCACTTCTCCAAAGCACTAAGAATTTGATTTCCACCTCATTTTTTTTTATTATTCTGTTGTTTTGTGTGTATAGGTGGTTTTGTGTGTGTGTGTGTGTGTGTGTGTGTGTGTGTGTGTGTGTGTTGGTGTTTGTTTTTTTTTGTTGTTGTTGTTGTTGTTTTTTTGGCCTGTATGTACATTTATCATGTACATGCAGTGCCCAGAGAGGCCACAAGAGGACAGCAGATTCCCTGAAACAAGAATTATAGATGGCTGTGAGCCTCTGCATGGGTCCAGTTTTGAACTTGGGTCCCCTGGAAGAGCAGCCAGCGTTCTTAACTACTGAGCCATCTCTCTGGCCCTTCTGCACCTGCTTTTTAAGAAAGATGCCCAAAATAAGCAACTGAACCTAAAGTCATTGCTATGAACTCAGCCTTCCCTTCACTGAAAGTAAACAAGACCTCACTTGTCCTGTGGAGACAGAAGAGAGGGTGACTGCTAAGGTTTATATTGGTTCTCACGTCCTTTGATCTCATTTCTATAAGAAACATTTCCTTGTGTGCTGTTCTCCTGGGCCCTTCCTTCTCCCTTCATGGCGTCTTTACTTCTCCACTGCCATCTCCCTCTATCCCCTCCACAGGAGGCCTCCTGAGATCTGAGCACCACAAGGTAGTGCTTCCAGTCCAGTCATGGAAAGACAAGAGTTGTGGGAAAACTGATAGAGTTAGGAGAGGCAAGGAAAGACACATTGTCTGTAGGCTTCTGAGGAAGTATGGCTCTGCCAACACCTCCCCCAGACATCCTCTCTCTGGGAGCACTTTCAGGGAAAGCCAGCCCACTGGGAGCACTTTCATCTGAGCTGCAGACACCTCACCATCTGCAGCTTCGGTGACCAGCATCTGTGTGCCCAGAAATCTCACTCAATGGGTTCTTGTGGTTTCCTTTCTGCCTGTAATCAGACGCTATTCCGCGGTGAAAAACCAGGCCATCACAGCGCTCATAGTGGTTCTCAAAGTGGTAGAGGTTCAGACCGCCCTTCTCTAGCCCAATCCCAACAGCTAAGCGAGGGAGCCCCCAGGGGAGTCTCCTGCAAAGTGCTGTTGACACCCTGTTGTATGCAAGGACAGCGTGAAGGAAGCCTGTGCTTTTCTGTCCTCACCTCCATTACACGATTCAGTTCTTAAAATGCCTGGGAAGGGGGATGCACTGGTTCTAGCCTTGTCTTCAAATGAAGGAGCAGGAACACTTAGATGTAACCTTGTACCTAGTAAGTCGCAGAGCTGGAATTGCCTCTATAAATATAGTGATGGTGACGAAGAGGAGGGGGAAGAACCAAAGAGAGAAGAAGAAAACCCAGGCAAATGAGCCCAGCCACACCTACCTGTGTAGCCGGACCTGACAAACATGTCAGAAGTAAACATCTGTTGGGTGTGAGGGTTTTATGGTTGTCATTCAACCCAAACTAAGAGGTGTGATATCTTACTTGTTAAGGGTGCCTACTGAAAGACCAAACTCCAAAATCAGATGGGCCAGCTGGAATAATACTCTCCAAAAGCAAGAATTTTCTGCTTAAGATCACTACTTTTTAAATGTAGAAAAGTCTTCTTATGGCCAAATATTTAAAAAAAAAAAAACCTCTTCATACAGGAATGCATTTTGACAAAATCCATCCACCCCCTACCCCTCCCCTCTAAACCTCTCCCGTCCTTACCCCTATCTCTTCCCCACCTTCATGGCTCCCTAAAGTTTTCCCAATGTGGAGCCCTTGCTCAGGTGTCACAGTAGGTGGAGCAGCACGTGCTGAATGGAACTCTAACAAGGATGGTACAACCGTCAGGTCGGACTTTTTCCCATTTCCCATGTGGCACTCTTTCGTGCCCAGTGAGACACTGGCCAAGTCTGGATTCCATCCCGGTCCCCTCAGCAGAATCTCTGTGCTGCTCTGCCTATGACAAATCCGCCGTGAGAAGTCACCCTCTCTAGGAGCCTCTCCACAGAGCCTGACTGGGGCAGAAAGGCTCTGAAGCCAGGGGCAGGATGAGAACACGACAGGGTGCATTCCACTGCTTCCTAGAATTACTCCCACGTGCAGGCTGATGGAGGAGTGGGACAAAGCAGAGCTACTGGACTGTGACATTTCCCTGCAAGAATCCCACTTACACTTCTCCCTGAAGATCCAACAGTGCAATAGGAGGTGGTCAGAGGCCGGAGCCGATGCTGACTGTACTGTCTCCATCACTAAGTGCTCTACCAACAGCTCCCATGCTGGGAAGAGTCCAGGGAGCCAAAGTGGCAGGGCTTTCCCCACTTAAAAGAAGACATAGTCCAGGCCTGGGGCTGCTCAACATCCTCCTGCATGGGGCAGTATTTTCATTATCACTGCTGTGTAGTGAGTGATACTTTGTGTTTTAACAACTAAAGCTTGCTTGAAGGTCAGCGTGTAGAGCTAAGCCATTAGAGGCCAGGCACTAGAGAGGTGGAGACAGGAAGGTATGTGGCTGGGAAGAGAGAGGAATATAAGGCAGAAAGAGACTGGAGCTCACTGCAATCTGAGGTTTAGTGGAGACGGTGCAGTCTGAAGATGCAGTCTGAGCGTTAGTAGAGACAGGATCTACCCTTTAGTCTGAGAATTCGGTAGAGGTAAAAGGTCTCTCCAGTGGCTGGACACTCTGCTTCTCTGACCTCTCAGCTTTCACCCTCTAATATCTGACTTGGGAGTTTATTAAGAACAACAGAATTTGTGCTGTGCTACTGAGTGGTTCAGATAGAAGCAAACAGCTACTCACAGGCTCCACAAACTCAAACATCTTTCTCTCTTGGACTTCCTGCACCTTAAAGACATACTCCAGGGACACTTCATAGAAATGCTGCCGAACCAGGTCCACTTGGCTGTCTGCCTGCAAACAAGACAGGGTTTAACAGAGAGGACAAGCCATTAACTAAGGAACACACTAAGCAAGGAGAAAATATGTGAAGGTAAATTATTAAAAGAAATCAAACAGCATCATACTGAATAAAAATGGTAAGATACTGAAAACTATTCCAAACACTATGTTTACGGATGCACACACACACACACACACACACACACACACACACACACACACACGCATGCGCACACACGCATACACTCCAGCTTGACCTATCAAACAATTATTTTGTGTTTCTTGGGAGACATACTCCAGAACTTTAAGTTCCACAAGAGCAGATCCTTTGTCAAACTCTCACTAAACACCCATGCCCTCAACAGACATCCACAGACGTAGCCAGTGAGTATTAGCCAAAGGAACAAATACGATTTTGCGTGCAAACTTCATAGCCATTGAAGAACACACTACTCTTTAAAATATCATCACGATCCACTAGGTGGCAGCAGCATTCCACCCTGCTGCCCTTTAATGGCTTCCTTCCTGGATGTATGGACTCAAACTGAAAAGCTCCAAAAACAGTCAAAGATGGTGGCAGCTCCATGCATGCCACACTGACCTTTCATTCAAAATAAACTACTGTTTAGATGAGCAGGTCAGAGAATTTCTTTTTTGTGGTGGGCGGTGCACAGCCTTACACTCTGGCATTAAGATTATACCCCAACCCTTGTTTTTCTAAGACAGAGTCTCTCTCGTAGCCCAGGCCAGCCTTGAACTCCCAGTCCTCCTTCTTATCCTACAGTGCTGGCATAACAGACTTCTACCACCATGCCCAATCAAAGAATATTTTAATAAGAAAATGATTAACAACATTCAAAATACATGCATGACAGTAAGATATTATTAAAAATAAAAACAGGGAAAAGTATCAAATGCTGCACTGAAACAATTAGAAGCTATTATTAAGAAACAATAAGAAAACCCAAGTATTTCAGACACCAGTCTGGGAAGGCACTAACACGAGGCAGGAGGTCAGGTGGGCGAAAAGGCAGCATTAAGGCCAAGGGTGAGAGAAGCAGCAGCAGATCTGGAGGAGGTAGGGGGCAGCACTGTTCCGCTGCCACTAGCAGGTTACAGAGCAAGGAAGTGGGACAAGGAGGGCATGGCCCTGGAGGAGGCTTCAGCCTGGAGCCTGTTTCTAGGGTCTCCTTCAATCCAGGTATTGGCTCACACACAGCAAACGGCTTCTATCCACAGCACCACACAGAAACTAACACCGTGCAGAAGCTCTGTGGTTTCTCACCTCCTGCAGCTGGGCTTCCTTTTTCTTGGAAGACAAATTCAAGTGCTTTTCTAAGACGCCACAGTACTTCTCTGTCTCTTTGTCATACTTCTTTTTGGCTTCCTGGGGTGGGCGAGAGAGTAAGAAGTTACGGGAGTGAAGTAGCTGGATCCCTCGGGACCTTTATGTGCTCACAGTTCACCATTCCCTCCGCCCAAAATGATGATGCTCCTGCTCTTTAGATAATGTCCATCGAGGACGGCAAACCTCAAAACCGAAGTCAAAGCATAGCTGCTGTCCACAGATGGGGCTTATAATGATGGCACAGGACATCCAGGAAGTGTATTACCCATCATGTGAAAGCCTGGACGGTAAGACTGGAAGGCAGTGGCAGCATGGTACAAACCTGGTGTGGCCCATGTAAACATGAGTCAAGGAACTGAGACATGAAAATTCTTCCCTTTTGTTGAGAAGTTTTTATTAGCTTGAACTATTGTCTAAGAAATGAAAAATGATTTAATAATATACATATCAACCTGTGCTCTCCCACCAAGTTCTTGAGTCACCAAGGTTCTATTTTTATTCCCCATTTTAGAGGTAAGAAAACTCAGAAGGAAGGCAATTTGCAAAATGTCACAGAGAATGACAAGGCTGACACCAAGCTAACGCGATCTGCCTTTAAAGCCCACACTCTGCCCACTTGAGACACAGTCACAGGCAGTCGGTCTCTTTGCCCTCCGCACCGCTGTGGGCGGGGCTGGGAAGCTGCTCAAGTCTAGCACGAATGCTGGGGTGCACAACCCCAGTGTGTCAGCCTGCTTTTGACTCATCTGGCGCCCAAATGAGATACTCTGTGCAGCTCTAAAGACTGTGAAATAAAGGCGTTTCCAGCTAGATAAGGAAGGCGTCTCTATTCATCTCACAAACTCAGGACTAGCGATCACTCTGTCCTAGGATCTACTTTGGGCAGTGACTCCTCCTCTCATGATGGGAACATTCTAGTGGGAAGAGAAACACAATTAACCAGGAAACAAATAAGTAATATAATTACAGACTACTGTAAGAGGTTTAAAAAAAAGAAAAAAAGAACAGAGGGTTCTTAGGAGAGGCCTCAGTGGGGAGAGATGAAAACTGAGACCTGGTGAACACCTGAGGAGGCAGAGGGGAGGTGCCCAGAACAGGCAGCCAGCAATGCTAGGGGCATCCTAGGGCAGAACACTCTGAGCCAAGAAGTCCTATCAAGCTCCTAAGCCTCGCAGAGAGCAGAAATGATCATATACACACTTAGCTGGCGTGAACCCATTCCTACAATCTGAAGAATTGTGCCTTAGAATCCTCTATACTCACACCACGAAGCAAGCAAGCATGAGTCAAGGAAAGGCTCACAGAGGCATTCGCCTCCAAGTCTGAGAAAGGCCCAGACAAGCAACTCCTCTACTTTAAATCATAAGCCCGGAGCTGGATTCCAACCCCACTCAATGCTCACATCACACAAATCCACTCTCACTAGCCTGGTGGCCGGCAACCCCACAGAGTACCCTACGGCCAGGCAGGGCCACAGGCCGAAGGTTAGGAAAGGCCAGAGGGCATGAGTCACTGGCATTTTCTAACTTTTAGGGGACTGGAGCCTCCAGAGTCTATGGTCACTGGACTGCCACAATCAGAGAAAGGAGCTGAAAGAGGGAAAGAAAAGCCCCATGCTGAGACAGCACCAAGGCCTCTGCGGGAAACTTAACGCAGTTTGCCGGTGCCTTGTCTAACGCTACCACACAACACTGACAAACACAACTTCAGGAAGAAAGGGTTTCGTCTGGCTCAGTTCCAGGATACAGTCGATCCCATGGTAAGTCAGTTCCGGGGTACAGTCCATTCCACAGTAAGTCAGTTCCGGGGTACAGTCCATCCCACAGAAATCAGTTCCAGGGTACAGTCCATGCCACGGTAAGTCAGTTCTGGGGTACAGTCTATCCCACAGAAAGTCAGTTCCGGGGTTCAGTCCACCCCACAGAAAGTCAGTTCCGGGGTACAGTCCATCCCACGGTAAGTCATGGTTCTAAGCATCCACAGCAGTTGGTCACACTGCATCCAGAGTCAGTGAAGCAAGCAGAGATGGTTGCTGGCACTCAGTTAGTAGCTTTCTCCTTTTAGTCTTTAAAAGATACTGTGTTTTATGGGGTGCATCTCTGTGTGTCTAGGTAGGGGTATGTGCAAGTGAGTATGGGTGCCCTCAGAAGCCAGAAGGTAGATGCTGAATGCCCTGGAACCGGAGTTACAGACTGTTGTGGGTGCTGGGAACTGATCTTGGGCCCTCAGAGAGCACATATACGGCCTCTTAACAGTTAAGCTCTCTCTCCAGCCTCATTTACCACCATCACCTTCTAAGACCCAACTTGCTCCTCTACAAACACAGGCTGACTAGATGAGATCATTGCTCAGGTTCCATCATGCAGCTCACAACTCTGTGATAAAACAAGAACACTCGCTCTTCACAGCGTTACTTGGATTAAATGAGTTGAACCACAGAGAGCGCTTAGCAAAGTGACTGCCGCATGGACAGCACGCAGTATATTCCAGGGATGGGAATACTGGTGAGGGGGCGATAGCTGTGGTGCCAGTGGTAACGGTGGTGTGGTAACGGTGGTGACAGAGGCCACTGGGAGTACAGGTAGCAGACTGATGGTGCTGGTGGAAGCAGTCACTGTCACCATATGGTGGTGGTGTTTGTGATAATGGTGGCAGCAGTGGTGGCAATGATGGTAGAGATGACAATGGCTGTGCCGGAAAATTTTATATCAACTTGATACAACTGAAAAGAGAAACTCAACTGATAAAATGCCCCCACCATATTAGGCTGGAGAACATTTTATTGATCGATGATTGATGTGAAAGGCCTAGTCACTGTAGGGGGCGCTGCCACTCCTGAACTGGCAGTCCTAGGTGCTAAAGAAAGCAAGGAGAGCAAGCCATGAGGAGCAAGCCAGTAAGCAGTGTTCTTCCACGGCTTCTGTTTCAGTTCCTGCCTCCAGGTTCCTGCCTTGAGTTCCTGCCCTGACTTTCCTTGGTGATATCCCCTGAAGTAGAAGGTAATCAAGCCCTTTCCTCCTCAAGTTGCTTTTTGCCATGGTGCCTTATCCCGGCAACTGACACTCGGGGCATGTGGAAATGGTGCTAACTGGAGCAATGGTGGCGATAATGCTGGTGGGAGTGGGGGCCGCTGCTGCTACTCTTACTGCTGATGGTGACAGGAATGGTGGGAACAGTGACAGCGGAGGTGGTGCCGATGCTGATAAGGTACTTGCCATCTGCAACCACTTCCTTTTCATCAAATGCAACATTTGCCTTGCAAGTGTCAGCTGGATGAAGGCAACCCTCCCGAAGCACATACCACAGTTTGGAACCAGGCATTGTTTATAGCCTTATGTCTAATGCTCTCCTCTCAGCCAGGGCAACCATATCTGATTGTCATCCACTAATCCCAACTACAGAGTATAGTGTTGGGCTCTCACATATATATTTTGTGGTGTTTTTTTTTTTTAATTTTTAACTCTGTGTGGTGTGGGGTGTGTGTGTGTGTGTGTGTGTGTGTGTGTGTGTGTGTGTGTGTTTATACATGTGAATATGTGCCCTTATAGGAGGGCACCAGATACTCTGAATTATAGGCAGCCCAATATGGGTCCTAGAATGAAACTCAGGTCATCTGCAAAAGCAAAATGCACACTTATCCACTGAGCCATCTCTTCAGCCCTTCTCATATACTCTTAATGATCTGTGTGACCTAATGTCATAACCCCAGATGAATGACTAAATTACAAGCACTGTCCTTCTGTTCAAACAGCCATAGGACACATACTATCTCAAGTGCCTCCTATGGGTTCACTCATTTATTCTTAAGCACTCTATGGGGAAAAGTTTTATTGTCCCCTTTTAAAGATGAGGAAACAGGGACGTGGAGCTTCAGAAGCCTCCACTTCTAAAGCTGCATACGGTAAGTCTGGAACACGCAGCCTCGCTCTAGACCCACTCCTACCTGCTACTCTCAGGTGCCTATTCTGCTTTCACTGCAAAGCACAGCACTGCCACTCTGCCTCCTGTGTAGAAAAAGCCAAAATATAGACTTAGGGCCACAGTTACGACAGGATCTGGGGGTCACACTTTATTCCTGAGTGGCCTCTAGCACAAGAATACCCAAAGATCCTGCTATGGTTAGCGCTAATTGTCAACTTGACAAAATCTGGAATCACCTGGGACAGGCTTCAATATACCTATGGGGGATTATCTTGACTGCGTGAACTGCGGGGGGGGGGGGGGGGGGGGGACTCCCACTGGGCAAGGTAGCAGTCAGACTAGGATCCTGCATTGTATGGAGAGAGGACCCAAGGAGAAGCAGGCAGCATTGCTCTGTCCCTTGGCTGGTGATGTGATCAGTAGCCTCAAGCCCTTCCCATTGTGACTCATGACGCACTGTCTCCTGGAACTGAGAGCTGAAATGAACCCTTTCTTCCTTAAGCTCCTTTGTCTGAAGCATTTGATCCCAACAGCAACAACAAAAAGAATCTAAGACAAACTCCCCTTCCTGGACCCCTGTGCAACAGGTTGTTATGGCAACCAAAGCAGCAGCAGAGAAGAGAGGCAGGAGGGGAAAAAATAATTTTAGCATCAAATACACAGAATTCAGGAACAAGCTCTGGACCACCCAAAACAGGCGAAGAGCCCTGCTGGCTCCTTGGGTGTCTCTGAGGCGCCTCCCTGGGTTGCCTTTAAGCTTTGTAGGTGTTCTCTCAAATTCACATACTACTAGGATATGAATGTAGGGGTGGGTTGAGAGGGGGATACACTGGGAAAGAAAACAAGAAATGACAAAGAAGGAGGGATGAGAAATCACCTCAAATACCAAAATTAAAATCATTAACGATTTGCCTGGGGTAAGCTTAAAGCAGTGACACACATCCCACCTGTAGGCAAAGGTGATGATCCTGTCACAGGATCTCTGTAGTAAATGCAGAGGGAGCTGTATTGCTCCTCCCTAGTAACTATGGTAACTCCCAAAACAATACAGGGGAGGGCCAGAGTGGGAGGGTGTCTATGCTTTCCATTAGAAGCAGCTACTGTAAAGATGACAGGCAGGTCATAACCCTCTGTGGTAGGTGTCTGAACACAGGAACATACAGGCCCCGGCCATGCAAAAGCAGGTGACTTCCTGGACCACTGAGAGAATTGCTAGCCATATAGTCTCAGATATTACAGAGAGGTGGTGGTAGACAGGAGTCTTAGTAGAAGACGCATCTCTGAAACAGAAGCAATTTCTTTCTTCCTAAATGTAAACTTAAATGGTTACAAATCTGCTGTAAACTAGGAGAAAAATCCTTCCATGGTCTTCCCTTCAAAGTAAGGCTAAGCATCCCCTGGAAGCTTTAACCAAGCATTATCCTTTTCAGTAGGCATGTCCATTTCTAAAAAGCAGCTGGAAGGCAGGGAGGCAAAGCTCACTCGTACAAGACTTCTCCAGGACAGTTTTCAAAGTAAAACCTACAGAAAGGATGGAATTGCCTCAATCTCCCCCAGCCCCCCGTGGATGGTTCAAGGGGCTGTGTTTGAATTCATTCACCACTCTAGAATGTCGGGAAAATATGGGACAGAGCCTCTTGCTACCATTCGGATGAACACATCTCCCCTGCAGGGGCCTTTAACACTCGGCTAGTTTAGTTAGTGACTCAACTCCAGACAAGGGAACAGGCTTCCCTGGGCCCTCTTCTAGTAACACATTACAAAAATTAGTTTTCTCCAACAAACTTCCTGGGTATACAAACCACACGTAAGGTCAGGGCGGTGCAGAGCAGTGATGGACAGCACAAAAGAAGTGCAATGGTCCTTCTGGAGGCTTTTGTCTCATGATGCCTTGTCGCATCATTTTTTTAACCTTATAAGTTGTTGATATAATACGGTTTCTGATTTTGAGTTTTTATGAAATTTCTACGTGTGTGTGTGTGTGTGTGTGTGTGTGTGTGTGTGTGTGTGTGTTTCTTGTGCTTCTTTGGCTTTTTTTCTTCTTCTCCTGTTTGTTTTGTCCTATTCTGGTTTGTTTTCGGTTTTAGGGGAAGTTATTTTGCTTTTTTATTGCTTATCTATTTGTTTTTTAAAAGAGGAAAAAAGTCATAATTTGGGTGGGTGGAGATATAGAGAAAATCTGATAGGAGTTGGGGAAGGGAAAAAACCATGTCAGACTATAATGTATAAAAAAATCTATTTTCAATAAAAATTTAAATTAGAAAGAAAATGAATGAATGAATGAATTAGCTGTTTGGTCTCAATGCCTCAAGGTCAGTCACAAATGGTGACCTCTGGGCTAAAGCATGCATGCAGTTGAGTCTGACCTAGATTAAGAATATGTGTGTTCTTAAAATATTTACCCACTGGAAATTTCTCATAAGTCTCTGAATTTTCAGTTTCTCTTGAAGAATTGAAAATGATCTAACAAAGGCAGGCTCATTTCTACAGATAACGAAAAATGAGCTGAGAGCCGGCAAGACAGATCAACTGTTAATAAGTGCGCATCACTGACCTGATGATGGTCTCAGACTTTCACATGAGCTCTTGGCATCTGCGTGTGCACACGTGTGTGCATGTGTGTGTGCATGCAGACACACAAATACACACAAACACATGTATGTGCACACACAATAAGTAAAAATCTTTGTTTAATGAGGCTTATAAGAAGTCTCTGTGTCCCCAAAGCTTTAATGAGGTTTTGGTTCTCCCCACCCCACTCACAATGACACAAAAATGAGTAGGCCGACCAGTCAGTCCACCGTCCAAACACACGGCCACCTAGCACAAAGAGGCAACACCTCTACCTTGAGTGGTTTATGAATTAGCACCCAATGATCAGACAACAAAACACTGGGATGGCTGCTGATGGTGTCCACAGGCAGCCTGCACTTCAGGAGCTGAGCTAGAACTGGAGGAGGTGCAGCTGTCTTTAGACTCCATCCTAAAGGGCAAGAACAAAGTGTGCAAAATCCTCACCCTGGCAGCCCCGATCTGCTCCTTTCGAAACTTCTCCAAGGGCGTGATGAGCACCTCACTGGCGTTCTCAATCTGGGGAAGAAAAGCAGAGATCAGCAGTGAAGCACAGCAGCTCTTCCACAAATGCTCCCTCTGGCCTCCAGATGAAACCTCAGTCCATGTGCCATTGTGTAATAGCTCCTTAAAAGAGAATCCGCTCAGAAACTCCTAATGGGACCTTCCTCCACGGAGAGTTTGCTGTTGTTGGAGGCTGAGTCTCTGTGTAGCCCAGGACAGCCTGGGCCTTACAGTCCTCTAAACCTCAGCCTTCTGAGTTCTAGAAGAAGTGAATCTAAAGGGCAGACAACCACTACAGGGTGCAGGTACCTGGTGACAGACACCATCTAAGTTTCAAGCTTCAGGTGACATAAGTTCGGTATTCACCCAAGCAAAGTACATCAACATGGAGTCTCAATTAAAAATCTAAAACACCTTCAGACATCTATGGAAAAGACCTTTCATACCTGATGGGTTCCCTAGGGAACTAACTGGGGCCCAGACCTCTGTCTCCTGACCACTGGCTGCCTCCCAACTGCATTGTACAGGACCCAGCCATCAGTTCCCACACTCCGATTCCCTGTCACACTGACAGACCTCGAATGCACCAAGTCTGTCCTACCTTGGGCCCTTTGTCTCTGGCTTTTCCCTCTGATGCTCCTGGACAGATTATAATCAAGGTCTCAGTTTAAAGGTCACTTCTCTGTGGAGGCCTTCCCGGACCTCCAGAGCTATAATTCAGACAAGCTGTCCAGAAGCCTTTCAGAACTCAGAGGACAGGTAGTTTTCTGGCTCAGAACTATCTACCAACACATACGCCAGCCCTGAAAAGACTCCCCAGTATTCCCAAAGCAACAAAGAAGTCAGAAACAAAGGCACACTCAAACACTTCTGAATGACCAAATGAGTGAATGAGTGACCCCTGGACAAGCTGCCAAGTGTGTGACCATGAACAAAACATTGAAATTCTCTGGACTCTAATTTCCTAATCCAGAAAAATGAGGGGGCTGCATTGCTCCGGCTCTAAGATTCTACAGTCTTTTCAAAAGCAGCGCGATATTTTACGATCTTTACTCATTGCTCACGCTTCTCTCAACTAATTATTTCAGGAATCTCTCTTCAACAAAGCATTATTTTCTCTAAATCATATGCATGCCCTTCACAACGGCAACAACACAGAAAATGCCAGAGGCTCTTGGTGGACACAGTAAAGAACTGCCTGGACAACGTGAGGGACAGAAAAGAGTGGCTCTCCACATTTATTCCCATTTGCGTGTTTCTTAATTTTGAAACACTCCACTTCTACAGAGTACATTTTAACACTGCAGTGTGGTAACAGTTCTGAACTTACCTGATTTTTATTGCTAACTGGTATTGTTTACCTAGCTTATGTAGGTCTAGCCCATAAATCAACTACAAGTTTCTAGAGTTCACAAAGGTGTGCAAAGCCAGTTGACGGTTTTCAACCTCAGTTGCACATGAGAATCCCCAGGGAGCTTTGCAAATCTCTGGTCCTGATCCCAGACATCGGTGTTTGTGAAGTCCCTCAAGTTATCCCAGCAGGTACCCATGCTGAGATGCCAGCCCTAAGGAGACTCAGAATGCTAGTCCTTGGTGCTCTCATGGGAAGCATGACAACCAGTCCTCATCCCAGTATGATTAGCACTATCAGCCTCGACAAGACCTGTGTTCTCATCTACCAAAGCACAGTAAGAAGGAACCGGACTAACGGTAGAGCACAGACACCACTCTTGGCCCACAGTGACTGTCCAGACACATGTGGTACATGCAGAGTCTGAGCAATGGACCACATGTTCAGAAAACACAATGGACAGCAAAATATCTCACAACCATGGCTCCTCCAAAAGGGTACAGTTTCGCTGAGCTGAGCCAAACTGATGATAAAGCTGTCCCACGGTGAGCATGGTGGGAAGAGGCTTGTGATGGCCAGAAACTCAGAAGCAGACAGCAGAGAGTAATAATAAAATTGCAGAGGCAAGTTGAAAAAAGCATAATCCAGTCATTGTTCCCCTACCGCAGGCCACAGCAATTTGCAGGGTATTCATGGGTGATTTGCTGACCATACTGCCGCCCCCAAATGTTGACATGACCCTGAGTCAGACTCAGAAGAACCATGTCCCTTTCTAGGGCACTAGCATGTGCACACTCATGCTTTCACCGGCCCTACCACTGCCACTGGTGCTCCAGTTTGGGCTCAAGCGAGCAGCAATCGGTAGTCAGAGGAGGGAGGGTCTCTGCCAGGCAAATTCCCACATCTTTTGGTGTAATGTCAATTTGGGTTTGAATCAAAACTGCACAACCTATCAACCATGAGAGCCTGGACAAAAGGTGGCCCCTGTGAACCTCAGTATCTTCATCTGGAAAACTGGGAGGACACAGAGGGGACGTCACAGCTATCACAGGAGCTACGGAGAACAGGTCAGGCTCTGGCTGTACACTGTCTTGGTCCTGACAGCTCATGCTGTCAGCAACTGTTACAGAAAGAGAAGGAATGTGCTCCAATTTTGGCATCCTTCTGGGACTGCCTACCTGGAGATGAGCCCCTACCCCCACCCCAGATGGAAGCCAGTGTGAAGCCTGTTGGGGGCTTCTCACCAGGCTTCCCTCCTGCTACCTGGGGGATGTGGGAAATGCAAAGGGACCCCACCCACTAACAACAGCAGATGCTGATTTGAAAGCACTGAACCTACAGGTCAGCACTGGCTTCTTGAATTTGCAGGCTCTTTCTGAGGTGCTCCCGCAGCCACGTTTCTTTGCCAGGATGCATTTTCTGACTGCCAGCTACGTGGCAGGTGTCCTGGGGCCAGAGTGAAGCAGTGATGCCTTCCCTGAATGATCACTGGATGGGTTTAATGAGACATGGAGAAGTAGACTGGGACACATGCTTTCTCTTTCAGCCAGATTCCGAAAAGTTAACAAAGCCGAAAGCACTCCCCTAAAATCGTACGTGCTTACGTGCATGCATGCGTGTGTGCGCGTGTACATGTTTCTGTGTGTGTGCATGTGTGCCAAAGGTTGACATTAATGTTATTCCTCGGTTATTTGCCTGCTTTTTCACCTTACTTTTTGAGACAGTCTTCTACTGAACCCAGAACTCACCAATTTGGACAGACTGACTAGCCAGCAAACCCTAATGTTGTAGGAGCTGCGGGCTGTGTTCCTGCCTCCCAGCTCCTGGTCGCCTGGCTAGCTTATGCCCCAAAATAACAACACACAAATTATATTCTTGGCCCATTATATCTAGCCTCTTCTCGGCTAACTCTCGCACCTGGACTAGCCCATTTCTAATAATGTGTGTAGCACCCCAAGGTGCGCTTACCAGGAAGATTCTAGCCTACGTCCATCCTGGGTCGGAGCTTCATCGCATCTGCCCCGGAGAGCTGAGCTATGGCGTCTCTCTGAAGCCTCTTACCTCACTTCCTCTTCCTCCCAGCATTCTGTTCTGTTTACTCCTCCCACCTATGTTTTAACCTATGAGGCCAAGCAGTTTCTTTATTACTTAACCAATGACCTTCCTCCATCACCCTAGGGATTACAGAGGTGCACCACTAAGTCCTGTTTGTTACAGGGTGCTGGGGATCTGAACTCAGGTCCTCAGGCTTATGCAGCAAGGGCCTTACTGACTAAACAATCTCCTCAGATCTTGAGAACAATAATCCTCTTCCAAAGTTATGCGCTGGTAATTCTTTAACACTCAGAGAAAATATTAAATTCTGCAAGGGTTCACAGCCTCAGAATACTCCAGAGGTAGTCTCAACTTAAACCTGGGTCTTGGCTCTCTCAAAGCATATAGACTGCCTGGGTACTCACCATGCGACTCCGCTCATCTTCAAGATTCCTGAGAACAGTGGCAAATTCTTGCAAAGATCTCGCTGGAAGAGAGAAAGAAAGAAGCCATGAACTGAAAGCAAAATGACGGCTGTTTAAAGCAACTTACTGATTTCAATTCCGTATGCACACGGATGCCCAAAGTCAACTGCTGTCTTCAGATTCCCTCATCTTTTAATCATTAACCACGAAAGACAGGATGACCCAGAAATGCAGGTTAATTGCTCCTGGAACACCAGCTAGAGGATTTCTCCAAGGAAAAGACCTGCCTATTCCTGAGAGTTCCCAGGACTGCTGAGGTGCTGGCAGGCTCCCAGCCCTGAGGCTGGAGGGGGCAGAGTTCCACCAAGGAGCTGAAGGATTTCCTGTCCAGGATTCAACCTCTTCAATCTTTGTTGCTGGGCTGCATCAGAATCCAACGTTTGCTTTGGCACGACAACGAAACAAATAGTCCTGCGGGCACCAGAAACCACATCTCTGGCATCTCCTGGGTTCCTTCTCCCTGAGTTCTGAAGTCACTCGGCAGTAGAATGCAGCCTGCAGCACAGCAGGCAAACACAGATGGTCTTTGCCAGAATCTTTCACTAAGGCAACAGGCACTTAGTGAAGTAGCCCCAGGACTTTAGGATACTTGGGCAATGTTCTCAGCTACTTCCCAGATGTCTTTGTTCATACCCAGATCCTGGTGTTCTGCCTGGCAACAGACTCAAAATCATATGAACAACATTAACTTTCCCAATTCTTGTTATTGCTTTGGTATTGGACATTGAACCCAGCCCCTCACATACACTAAGTACGTGCTCTACCATTGGGGCTACAATCCCAGCTCCAGCTCTTCTTAGTTCTTCCTCCTTTTGTGGCATCAACTAAAACACCCAATATAAGAAAAAACAGACTATGAGCCCCGAGCAAGTGGTGAGTCTTGGCTGCACCAATGTTCTGTGCTCAGAGCTGCCTATGGAAGAGAGCAGGGGACACCAAAGAGGGAAGCAGTACAGCATGGTGCTATGTGGGAGCTCATCTCCACCTCTCAGTAAGGGACTTAAAGGAGAGAGAGGTGGAGACACAGGGAGCTAGTGACTGAGTCCTGTTTCTGCTCTGCAGGTGGTGACAGTCACATGGCTCCAGCCAGCTGTTACCAGGCTAAAATGGAAGGCCAACAGATCAAATCTGTGAAATTTTAGAAAGAAACAAACAAACCAGAACTTGAGATAAGTTCAACTTACGTGGTAATTCAGTTTAAAATTAAAAGTAAAAAATAGCAACATTCTCATCTCAGTCCATCAGCTAACGCTGCGCAACCCTGACCCAATTCTCTTTACCATCTGCATTCACTCTTAGGTTCTTAGCATTGTGTCTGGGTTAAGAGAAAAAAAGGAGAGTGTCACGAAGCTAGGCAGGACACTGAAGGAAGGTGGACAGGAACACCATCACAAAACTCCCAGCTTCCTCCTGCCACTGAACAGGGAGTGGGGCCAATGCAAGGAGGAGCCCCACCCTGACCTTCCTATCTGTGCCTTCCACTGCTCACTGGATTCCTTACTAACAGGCCTCCTAGCTCCAGAGAAGGTTTGCTGGAATGTTTCTGTCTCCCACGAGGGTGTGACTTACCTATACACATCTCATCATCAGTTTCTGCATCTCCAATACACTGAAATTTAAATTCATTTAAGGAATCTGCAAACTTCCGCTTTGCCGAAGACAAATCTAAGAAGATAAACAGGAAAAAAGAAATTATTGAAATTAAATTGGCCTTCCTAATTATTAACCTTTTAAGTCCTTCTGTGTATACTTAGCAAGGTTTGTTCCTGAGACCATTTCATGAAAGAAATGTTAACTTCACAATAGCCACAAATAACAGAAATTATCTCAGAGAAACTCTAACCAAACAAGTGGAAGACCTGTATGTAAAAGAACTTTAAATCTATGAAGAAAGAAATTGAAGAAGACACCAGAAAATGGAAAGATCTCCCATGCTCTTGGGTAGGCAGAATTAACAGTAAAAATGGCAGTCTTACCAAAAGTAATCAACATGTAGAAGAATGAAAATAGGTCCATATCTATCGCCACGCACAAAACTCAAGTCCAAATGGATCAAAGACCTCAACATAAAACCAACCACACTGAACCTCATAGAAAGGAAAGTGGGAAGTACACTTGAACGCATTGGCAACAGGAGACCACTTCCTAAATATAACCCCAATTGCACATACACTGAGAAACAATTAATAAATATGACTCCAGAAACTGAAAAGCTTCTGTAAAGCAAAAAACATGGTCAACAAGACAAAACGACAGCCTACAGAATAGGAAAAGATCTTCACCAACCCCACATCAGACAGAGGGTTGATCTCCAAAATATACAAAGAACTCAAGAAACTGGTCATCAAAAGAACAAATAATCCAATTAAAAAAAATGCAGTACAGGCCTAAACAGAGAAGTTTCAACAGATGAATCTAAAATGACGCTTAAGGAAATGTTCAACATCCTTAGTCATCAGAGAAATGCAAATCAAAACAACGCTAAGATTACATCTTGCACCTGTAAAAATGGCCAAGATCAAAAACACTGATGACAACTTATGATGGAGAGGATGTGGGGTAAAGGGAACACTCCTCCATCGCTTCTGGGAGTGCACACTGGTACAGCCCCTTTGGATATAAGTATGGCGATTTCTCAGCAAATTAGGAAACAACCTACCTCAAAACACAGCAATACCACTTTTCAGTATATACCCAAAAAATACTCAATCATACCATAATAACATGCACTCAACTATGTTCACAGCAGCATTGTTTGTCATACCCAGAACCTGGAAAAAAACTAAATGTCCCTCAACTAAAAAATGGAAAAGGAAAGAGTACTACACAGCAGAGAAAAAAAAAACATAATGACATCTTGAAATTTGCGGCAAAGGGATGAATCTAGAAAATCATTTTGAGTGAGGTAACCCAGACCCAGAAAGACAAATATAATATATACTCACTCATAAGTAGTTTTTAGACATAAAGTAAAGAAAACAAGTTGACAATTCACAATCCCAGAGGATAGAACACAAAGAGGACCCTAGGAGAGGCATACATGAATCTAATCTACATGGGTAGTAGAAAAAGATAAGGTCTCCTGAGTAAACTGAGAGTGTGGGGACTATGGGAGAGGGAAGAAGGGGAGGAGAGGAGAAAGGGAGGAGAGCAGAGAAAAATATATAGCTCAATAAAAGCAATTAAAAAATATTAACTCAAAATAGTAAATACTGTCCCATAGTCACACTGATGAATATCTCAAATATCACCATAGAACCTTCGTCCAGCGATGGATGGAGATAGAGACAGAGACCCACATCACAGCACTGGACTGAGCTCCCAAGGTCCAGTTGAAGAGCAGAAGGAAGGAGAAGATGAGCAAGGAAGTCAGGATCGCAAGAGGTTGGTCCACCCACTGAAACAGTGTGCCTGATCTAATGGGAGCTCACCAAATCCAGCTGGACTGGGACTGAACGAGCATGTGATCAAACTGGACTCTCTGAATGTGGCTGACAATAGGGGCTGACTGAAAAGCCATTGACAATGGCACTGAAACTTGTTTCTACTGCATGTATTGGCTTTTTGGGATCCTAGTCTGTTTGGACGCACACCTTCCTAGGCCTGGATAGAAGGGGGAGAGCCTTGGACTTCCCACAGAGCAGGGTACCCTGTCCACTCTTAAGACTGGAGGGGGAAGGAGGAGGGTGAGTGGGGGAGTGGGAGGGGAATGGGAGGAGGGGAGGAAGTGGAAATTTTTGAATGGAAAAATAAGTAAAAAAATTAATTAATTAAAAAAGAAAAGATAAAGAGGATATCTAGGGAAAAATAGTAAATACCTTTTTATGTAACAACACTTTATATATGATTTGTTCTAGTTAACATTTTTATTGCAATTGCTTTAACGATTCAAATCCTGTGGGATAAAGACACAATTCAGTGTTAAAGTGCTAGCCTAGCATACTAAGGCTCTGCATGCCAATGGAAGTATATACATACATACATATAATTTTTAATCCTGTGTCTGCTTCCTCAAACACACTGAGAACTGTCATCTCCCTTTGACACGTGGGAATCTCACCACTTCAGGAGAACGAGAAGGAAACCTGAACCAGGACCAATATCAGACCCCAAACCCTACAGGTACCTTCCGTGTGGTTGTACAGCTGCCCTGTGACTCTAGCACGTTCTATAGATCCGAAAGAAAGCAAGAAAAGCCTCTGTTGCCGTATCCAGGTATAAGCACGCCTAGCTTCCTCCTCCAGCTAAAGACAGACAAGGGCCAAGTTCTCAGATCCTCTCAGACCGGTTCTCCTCAGCCCATGGCTTGACAAATTTCCATCGGAGCTATTTCCCATAGTCACCAGAAGCAGTCCTGGCAATGTTTTGTATTGGGATTTTCTTAAGAAACCAACTCCACACATGGTATCTATAATGAAAACTCTCTGGGGCCCTTGTCAAATTCAAACACTAAACTACCCTTTAAGACAGTAATAAAAGCCAGTGATCCCTCCTCAGCTTCTGTTTGGGCATAAAATCACCAAGGTGCCTTTAAGTGGCCTGACAGACAAGGCTGCTCAGAACAGCATGCTTAACTTAATTCCACATGCAGCCTTCCTGCAGATTAGGCTAATCATTCAAATTACCATCTATCCAGGCTTCCCTCATTGAAGGGGAAATGGCATTAAGTTCAAACTCCCGGCGGAGGGTAATAGGAGGCATAACTTGTAACAAGGCCTGGATTTAATAAGATGGGAGGTTCTGGCTTCCCGGATCAACGTGACCCTCTAAATAGAAGCATCCCTTCCCTCAGATGAAGGTCATTTAGGCTGTTTCCATTCCCCTGCTATTGTGAATAGAGCAGCAAAGAACAAGGCTGAAAAACTATCTGTGAAGTAAAGGATATTGCGTCCTTCAGGCATAGCCCAAGGAGTATTACAGCTGGGCCATGTGGTAGAGTTTTGAAGTGTGTGTGTGTGTGTGTGTGTGTGTGTGTGTGTGTGTGTGTGTCTGTCAATAACTAAGGAAAAAGAGGCCATGAATTTGAGAGAAAACAAGGGGGACACACGAGAGGGACTAACGGAAGTGGAGGAAAAGTGAGATAATTATATTGTAATTTCAAAGCAATCGTTTTGTTTTTTTAAAGCATCACTGACCCTCAGCACTTCCTTCTTTGGCTCCCATTTTCTTCCTTAAGGTTAAGGGTGATAATTCTCATGTTTTGATTGTATTTGCTTTGTCTCTTCTCCTGGGATGTGCGGTGCAATCTGCTCTGAGTCCATTGCACAAGTGACATGATTTACAAACCCAGCCCTAGTGTCCCTTCCAAGCCAGAGCTGGCCTATAGCATCGCCAGGCTCAGGGGGTGCTGCTGTTCTCAATGAGGAACTTGTGCTACTGACTAGATCCTGAACCACTAACCACTTTCCCACAGCTCAGAGGGCTGGGTCCCAGGCAAAGCTGTCTGTTCTGCAACACAATAGGAGGCACACAGGGTGGAGAAGAACACAGGCTCCAATTTCAAACCGCTCCCTGGAGCAGAGGCTTTCAGGAAGAGTCCCAACCTGACAGCAGGGAACTAGGCTTCTCTCAGAAGAGGGTCGCCTTCAGAACACAGCTCACTCCTGGCAAGCCTAAACGTCTTCCGTGGGGAGGAAGGAAACTTGAGACTCTGGACAGGCCAGAGAGGAAACAGAAAGGATGTAACTCCAAAGTGGAAGAGAAGGACCCCAAGAGCCCCTAAGCACAGACATGGCAAAGGTGATTGTATGTAGTCACATTTTAGCTCGAACATGCCCTCAACCAGATCTCGCAAAATAAGACCTGAGCAAACAGTGTTGAGTAGGATCGCCTCACCTTCTGCCTGACAGTCCCCTTCCTCCCAAACAGGACAAAAGAGTTATGCTAACAATCACCTCAACAAAGTAGGAAAAAGGGAAAGGCAAACTGAATTTGGGCAAGTCTCCAGGGTGCACCTGAAAGGCTGGCCGGCCAGCAGCTGCCAACGAGGACGAAGGACCAGCAAACGAACAGCAGGGCCTCTGTGGGCCCTTCTAAAAGAGCTGCCCTGCCCGGTTATGGGCAGAAAGTAACCTGATTTCACTGCCCGGTGGCCCACAGCAGATGGAGAGGCAAGATCTGGGCCTGGTGGACGATGAGGTAATGAACAGTGATGGAGTCAACACAGGGCGCGGGGCCAGGGAGGACAGCTGAGTGGAACGAGAATTCCAGAGCCTAGAGCCTGGAGCCTGGAAAGGCGCTTACCTTGGACCTGGCTGAGAAATCTTTCAGAGAAATTACAGGAGACACCTGTTGTTTTGCTTGTTCAGGATCTGCGCCTGGCCCAAAGCGTGACATCTCCAGCTTATTTAAGGGAACTGCCCCCTCTCCACTTGCATCCTATGAGACTGGTTACAGAATGATCAATCCCAAACTCTGGCTTCCACCCCAGCCAGCTTTAGGTCCCGGGTTCGAGTTCCACTTGCCTATTTATTAGCTATGTTAACTGACCCCAGATGAGTTAGAGTGTTAGTCATTGGAACTGCCCCACAAGTGAGGGAGACCTACTATACACAAGCACTCTGCACACTTGAGACTCATCAACCCTCTGGACTCAGGTCCCTGGAATATGTGGAGGCTCCATACTGCTCACCCCCATTAAGACAGTACCTCTGTGGTATTTGGGA